TAAGAAAGGAATTATATCGCTGAAGTTCCTCGGAAAGAATTTATACCAGAAATTAACAAACGAGCAGATACATAACAGGGTTATATAAACAGATGGTTGCTGTCTACAATCTACTTTTTCTTAAAGCATAGAGATATCTCTACAAAAAATTCCACATTTTACGTACATATATGAAAAAAATTTGTGCAAGTGTATTAAGTACTATGTTAATATAATGCTTCCACACAGACAACAAAATACAACTGCCAAGCCCTTTTGCTCCAATTTACTGGTCACATAAGCTCCAGAACTACTCAACTTTGCATTGCACCTTATAGGTTAACAAAAAAACTAAATTTAAAAAAATCCTGAACTTTTGGTGTTGGAGTTAACTTTGTCAGTCTGCTTTTAACCCTCTCACTACTGACTCAGTGGATTATGCCAACCTCATGACCCAAAAGTGAAAAACTGTTTCCATACTAAAATTGCTAACATGTTTTGTGTATCTCCATGACATTTTTCAAGCTTTTATTAAACACTAAAAGTCTTTTGTAGACAAAAAAATCAGAATGTTTACTAAACATTTGTCTGTGAATATTTGGAGTCAGAGTGTTGACTGCTCTGAGTGCAAAATGACTTTCAATTTAAGATTAAAAAATACTTTTCATCTGAAAATTATCAAATTGATTTGCATAGTTTCTAAAAACCACCTATGTAAATATCAAATGTTTCTCTACCCTAACTCCATATGTATTTGGTCAGTTTGACCAACCTCCTACCCACCATAAAAAATTCAAAATGAGCAATACTGTTGGATCCCATTTAGTATGACCATTTTTCTTAAAACATAAAACAATAAATAAAAAAATATGTAGAAAAACAATGATTTCTAGTAATTACAATGTTATAAAATTAATTTGTACTCACGATCCTTACTTGCTAAGCCTCGTTTATTTACTCAAGTGGAGGGGGATGACAAGTTTAGTTTGTAGATTTTAGATGAACTTTAGAAATACAAGAATTATCATAAAATTACTGTAATTTCTCCGACTTTCTAACAAAGCTATATGTGGTTGAAAAAATTTAATTTCTGTTCAGAGCAACAACTTAACACACTTCAACATTTCCAGTGAATATGGGCTTTGTCCAGCCACCATAGCAGATCGTCCCACAGGGAAGTAGGAAGGGAAATGAGGATGGAAAGAGGATCCCAAGCAAGGTTCTATCATTCATTGAGCTCCCAATGAAGATATCTCATATGGGCACAGCCAAAAAGGACCAGTGCTGTTATGGAGGACCATATTCCCATAAGCGATAGAACATCGCGAGCAGCAAGTGACTGAGTTGAGAAGACACAGTGAACCAAAAGTTCCATTGAATGAAGACATAAAGAAGGCAGAGCACGACTGATATTCATGTCAAAAAAGACCCCCCAGATGGACTAGATATTGAGTGGGTCAAAGGAATGACTTCTCAAACTTGATCAACCAGCCCACCTGAGCCACCACATAAAGAAGTTGATGAGTATGAGTAGCTGATTCCTGCTTGAAATGAGCCAAAAGGAGCCAATCATCCATGTAATAATGAAATCACATTCCCAGAGCATGGAGATTTCGAGCAAAAACCAACCCAGACCATGCAATAAAACACAGAAGGAGCCAGAGCAAGTCCGAAGAAGTGGGCCCAAAATTGGTAAACCACCTCGAGATGGACAAAACCAAAGGTAAGGTCAAGACCAATGTGCTATCGGGATGTGGAGGTAAGCATTGGAGACATCCATTTTCATCATCCGCAATCCTTGAGAAAAGGCCCATCTCTGGGTTAGAAAAGACTCCACGGTGAACTTGGGGAGTGCAATGAAGCAGTTGAGGTGAGATAAATCAATGACTGACTGACAATCCCAAATTTTCTTGGGGACTACGAAAATACGGGAATAAAAAAACCCTGGAAGGATGGTGAACTGGTTTGATTGCTCACTGCAAAAGCAATTCTCAAACCACTTCTGACAGGTGCTGGCAGGTCACAGGATCTCGAGGAGGAGGGAAGGAAATGGTGCAAGAAGAAACAGATGGAGAAGGAGAGTGGATAACGAATCCTTCTGACATAACCCTTATCACCCATTGATTGGTGAGGAAGGGATGCCAGTGAGGAAGACACCACAAGAGGTTGGTTAGAGTAAGACGTAGACAAGAATATTGGGCATGGGTAAGATTAACATTTCAATCGGGAGCCCCCCCCCCTCCCCAAATAGGTATAAAAAATATACCTAACAACTGCTGATCTAAAATCAGATAGTCTACATGATGGTAAGAAGGGGCAAACTGATCAGAAGTCCTCTGGGGGGCGAGGCATGCTGATCCCCTCACTTAATTGTGAGACAAATTAATCCACATGTACCCAAATATCAGGAGGGGGAGGAAAAACCAAAAATGGTTGGGAAGCTGGTTCATGTAACAAGGAAGGGCGAGGTGAATACGAGATAAGGGACATATAAAAGCAGAGAGATCCACAGTCAGGTCACCAGCACCTGAGGCCTGAGAAAAATCACTGGTCACTTGTGTGACCCCCAAAGTGGTAACGTGAGCTTCAGAATTCATAGCACAAGAAAAGGTTCACAAAATTCGAGTGCAGAAATATAGCGACAAGAATGAACTGGTATATAAGAAAATAAAGTCAAAAAGGAACCACTCTGCATGAAAACAAATTTTTTTGTCACACTGGAAGAACTAGGCACACAAAATAGTATGTCTTAACTGAAACTCTGCCAAACGAGAAGTTAAGGCTCAGTAGAGAAGTGTAGAGGGAGTCACATGTGTCATGTGAGCACATGCTACTATTGGTTAAGAGATGATACATAAGAATAGCTAATCTTGTGAGAGGAGATAAGTACCGTATCAAAATTTACAATAAGTTTCTGCACTCCCTAAAAGAATAGGACTTTCTAAACACTTGGATAAGGATGAAAAAAAATTAACCTACCCTGAACTTTTTACTTGCCAAACAGTATCACAGATTTGAGGATGAGCCACTAAACACTTCGACCAATTATGTGATCTTGAACATTTGACTGATTTATGTATGTATGTGTTCCAATGAGTGGCAAATGCATCAATCATCGGTGTCCCGAACCCAATGGAAAACCTTGTGATGCAGCATACACTTGGTTGGGAGAATCCAGTTGGATTGAGCCAATTGATTTGCTATCAAATTCATCACTCTGGAATACTGCAAGGTAATAGGCTGACATCATGGTCGTGGGCCCAATAAAGAAGATCCAATATTCAAAAACAAAGAAATCTGGACCGAGTGTCTCACTGATGGGAAATGTAAGACACCACCGTGGAATTGTTGGAGTGAAGCATGATGATTTTTTCCCTCAATAATTCCAGACCTTGAGACATCACCCGTTGAATAGCAAGAAGTTCTAAAACATTGATGTTTAGGGAAGCCTTGTCATCCATCCATACGCATTGGAATTCCTGACCATTGAGATATGCACCTCATCCCTGAAGCGAGGCATGTGTGAAGAGATGGATCTCAGGATGAGGTGGCAGCAGAGAGACACCTATCACAGTATTGTTCTGATCTAACCACCAATCAAGATTGTATATGTTGATCCTGAGACGGACAAAATTGAACTGTAAATAAAAAAAATAAATGAAAAAATCTATTACTTTACGCTGCAAAAATAAATATCATGAATTTTCTGTTACAATGTGCACATATTTTAGTAGGGGTAAAGAGTAATTTAGATTTATTTCCTATTTTTCTGTGATGTTTAAAAGGTCGGTCAAATCGACCGAGTCACTACAGAGTAATAACAGATAAGATAAAAAGTGTTACTGAAAAAGACGTTTTATATAAATTTAGGAGGTTTTAGAAGTTACTCAAATGAAATTTGAAAACTACAAGCTGAATAAAAATATTTTAAATCGTGATATGAAAACTATCTTGATGGCCATGCCAGAATTCTTGCTCAATGTATTCATGGACAAATCTTTCGTAAAAATAATTAATCAAAAACCCAATTTTTTTATATCAAAAAGACTTGTAATGTTTATTAAAAGCTAACCAAATTTCATGAATAGTATGGATACTTTCATAATCAAAATGATTGGGCTCATATGGAAAATGTTAATGGGCAAAAATACCCTAACACCTATGTGCACAACTCTAAAGATAACTAAGATCATTGAAGACATATCAATGTGTAAACCCAATTGTTTTCTTTACATCTAAACTATACCAGCAACATAACACTTTGCCATAATTCCAAGAAAGAATTCTTCAACAAGATAAATGAAATTGGGCATAAAATATCTTTAGAAATCATCAAGAAAGGTAAAATGTTTGTTAAATTTTGCAGTAATATTCAACCTTCAAGTTCGGAGAAATACTTTGTAAAATTTCAAATTTTTTGGTTTTAAGTTAAAAAAGGGAAACATTTAATTTAATTTTTTTTTCAAAGGATACTGACAGAATTAGGGAGACGACATATGGCAACTTCTTCAGGAGGCCTCACGTCAATAAGTAGATGAGGAGAACTGTCCTCCTTTAACTGTTTGTATTCCTAGAAAAAACAAATTTCCAAGTTATTTTTCATCATATGTACAGATGAATATTATTATCTGGGCTCTGGAGCTGTGGCCACTAACAAATATTCATTTTGTCGAAAAGTACCATCACTATATAGTGTGATCAAAAAGAAAAACTAAAATAATAAAGAACTTTTACTGCTATATATATATATTTCTAGTTACATTCTTATATGAAGAATTTTTGAAAATATTTTAATGGTTATACAAATTAAGTAATAGCATATGTTTACAATTTACCCCGGATGAGCCTCCAATTTATTACATAACATATTATAATTTCGAATACCTTAAACTGAGTTAAATGATAATTTTGATTTACAAATTAAATAAATGTCAATATGTATCCAATTTATGATACTTGCCAACAAGATTGATACACAGTATTTTTAATACAAATATATTTTAATATACAAACAATTACACAATTTACAATAATGGTTATTACAAATAATGATCTATGTTTGTTTTGTAATTAAGCACAAAGCTACACAATGGGCTATCTGTGCTCTGCCCACCACGGGTATCGAAACCCGGATTCTAGCGTTGTAAGTCCGCAGACATACCGCTGTGCCACTGGGGGGCAATGATCTATGTACAAAAGTTTTATAAACTTACAAACAATATTTAGTCCTCTGTCTGGTCTGGAACTTCCTTGATATCTTATCAAGGGTTCACGATTAGTGAATAAATTTTGAGTTGATGTAGATACAGTTCACTTAACAGGGAGCTAGCTAGCTCTGTGTTTTTTAATCTTTGCATGCCAAGTTATTGACCGAGTCATATAATGTTTTTGTAAAAATACTAATGTCTGATGAGAATCCACTGAAGTTAAATGACATGTACTGTTCGAACTTTGTAAATGTTCCTGGTCAAATATTTGAAGTTCCTGATTAATAAGCATTACAACAATCACAGTTATAGCTTCCAAGGTTTATAGCACACCAACTATAGCAAACCAATAATGTATTCTGTCTTTTGGTATGTCGTGTTGATTATATTTATAGACGTGAGAAGAGTTTCTCGAAATTTCAGTTTATGCAACAATATAAACGACACACCGGCGTTTTCGTACACATATATATTGTTGATTCTTACACTTGAGAATTTTCTACAATTTTAGTGAATAGACGGGAATTTTGCAATACACATTTAACAGTATAAGTTATGTACATTTCTAAATATAAATTTAACTTAAACAAACATCGATTCTAAAATAGATATATGATAGTAAACCCAACACACATAAGACTCACAAAAAATAGGTATGTTGAAGGAAAACATGTGTATACTTACTTGACAAGTTAGTCTACTACAGTCATCTAACAAATGAAGTGTTTCAGTCTGGAAATAACAAAAATAAATCAATATCTTGTAAGAGTCATTTAAAACTGTCAAAAAATTGAATATATTCAAGAAAAGGGTAATACAAAATACATTACGTTAAGTTCTTAATGTCATTTAAGTCTTTTAATCTTTAAGCACAATTGTTTATGGTTATAGGTTTCTATATTTATTTCTATACGAAATTGTATTTCACTAAACCTTCACTTTAGATAATCCTAATACTTTCCCATTTAAGTAGTATTTAAACCAGAGTATACCTTAATTGGCCTATAATATTCAAAGTGTACCAAAAAGTTTTTAAATTATTTGCAAGATACTATTAACTTACCTTCAATCTGTAAGAAGAAAACTTATTCTTTTACTCTTAAGTTTGTTATGAACTCTTACCTTATCTGTTGGAGAAGCACCGCAGAACTGTTCGTAATCAATGAGTTTAGAAATTACTGGGTTATCTCCACATAAACTGCAAGTCTTCTGTTTTGATCGTAATGTTATCTTTCTAAAGCTACCTTCTTTTCCATCAAATAACAGGAGTTTTCCTGAAAAGGATGCTACAAATACACATCGAAAATTATAATATCTGAAGTATTAATAATACTTTATCTTATCATATTTTACTGAAATAGTCTTTCCTAAAGAATTGGTTTCAAGTAGTCCATCTGTTGTTTTTTTTTTCAAGAATTTAAGTCCAAGAATGTTTGATATTATGTTTAGCATGATCTGAACCTTTTATAAAATTGTATCAGTGTTTGATTAACTGATAACAGTGTTCCAATTTAGTTTCAAGTGGGTTACTAATAGCTCTTGACAAAACTGTAGTAGTAAAATATTGAGCCAATAAAAATACTTTCTGGAGATATAGTTCATTATTATATTTACATTTATACAAAATATTAATTGGAAATAAAAAATACAACAGTTAGCAACCTGTGGCTCCCCCTTTATTTGTGTACATAATATATATGATATAAACCTAAACTTACATCCAAGTCCTGCAGCTATCTTGATTGCTTCTAAAGCTTGAAGGCAACCAATTGTTCCAGGAACTTCAAATAACAAAATTATTCAAAATAGTTTTAACAAAGCCTTCAAAACAAAATATCAAAGCAACTTAAAAACATACTTCACAAAACTTGCTTAAATATAAATTTTAAAACTATTCAATAAATAAAGTTTAACAAAACTTGAATTTAAAAAAATACGAAATGAAAAACTTCCATGAAAACAAAATCTTATAAAGCTAGAACTTATCCATCAAAAATGTTTAAAGGGATGTCATCTAATTAAATAAACTCAGTCTAAGAAGGTATAATTTATCTTACCAACACCAAGAACACCACCATCAGAACAGTTGGTAACAGTTTCTGGAGGAGGAGGGGAGGGGTGTATGCAGCGATAACATGGACCACCATCAAAATTGTACACTGTCAACTGACAGAAAAAGATTTCACAATTGACACACCAAATGTGTTCTTTTATATTTTTACATATAAATTATGCATTTTACATACATTTTATCTTACCTAATAATTTTTGGAAAATATGGGCATTTTAAACAAATTATACATTCACAAACTTTGCAACTTTTATATCACACTATAAAACTTGAAATAAACAGACTACTTGTTCTTCATGTATCATCTTGTATTATTCGTTATGTGTTGCTGATAATTTAATTTTAATCTTTTGGTCTCTTTAAATAATGCATATTCTTATCATAAAATACTTTTTTCAGTATGTATCCATAGATTAATGTTTTATAACAAAATGCTTAATTATAAATTTATGTTTGTGGACAGATTCAAGATATCTATGAGCCATTTTCTTGGAAAGCCAATACTACAAGCAGTTAAATATAACATTAAAAGACAACAAGGGATTTTTTGGACCATCTAGGCCATCTTATCCACTAAGTTAAACTAAAAACCTCTTCAAAAAATGACAAAAGATTAGTAAAGCAAGATTTTCCTCTAGTGAAACCATGCTGACTATCTAACAAAATTTGAAACTTTGTTAAATAATTTTGTAAAGTATTATTTAGCAGACTTTCAAAAACTTTTCCCACAACTGATGTAAGACTAATAGGCCTATAATTACTGGGACAATTTTTATCACTTCCCTATATATTCGTGTCAGTGTAAACTACTTGTTACCGATGATGACAAAACCTTGTCAAAACATTGTACATTTGCTGTTATGTTAAACTTATATTAAAGTTTTTCCTCATAGCCCATTCACAGGTGAAAGTTCTCCATCTATAGATGGAAATCTATCATTTAATGTAAAATAAACACATTTTACTGCCAGCACCATTGCTGTAATCTTTATTGGTCTCAACTTCCAACCATTGTCATTTTTGCAAGAACAGGGTCATAACTGGTTAATTTAGTGATGTTTTTTAATGTGTAGCTGAACATGTATGTAAAAGGTTTGAGCAATAACCTTTAAAAACCTTAACTAGCCTCGTGTGATTATTAGATTGGTACATCTGGTAACATGACAAATTATAAGTAATTTTTTAATGTCTTTTTTTCTACAAATTCAAGTTAAAATTTAATACTAAAAACTGTCCAAAATGGCTCGGTATGCATCTTAAAAACATGTACAATCCCAGAGCTTTTTTGGGGCCTAGGTCTATGGCTATATTTCAATCAAAATAATCATTGTACACTTTCACCCTTGTAACTTCTACCAGAACACAAGTTCAGGAAAGTAAGAGATGTGGTGTTACAAAAATAAAACAGAAAATGTAAAAAATGTAAAAAATGTAGTTTGTTTCTCAGTTTTTGATTTTGTATTGAATTAAACACAATTATGGCCTTGATTTTTGAAGTTATATAAATTATTTTTCCATGAACTGGCATGGATTATCACCCACTATAAATCAGTATCCTTTCTTGTTAAAGATATTTCCACATAATGTTGGTAAAAATCATTACTGTAATACTAAGGTTCTCAGCCTGTGGTCTTCAGACCTTTAGAGATCCATGAGCATTCTACAGGGATAAAAAAAATGGTAAAAACTGAGATTCCATATAATAAAGAAAAAGATGAAACAATGCTATGTTTGATTAAATAAAAATAATACTTTAAATTTCATTAACTTGACTGATGAAACAATGAATTCTAATCAGTAATAAAGATAGTTTGAACAATATATTTAATTAGTTTTGCTCATTACTGGGTATATTTTTAGATCTGATCTATTCAGGTAGCTGGCATTGTTATTAATTACATACTTATTTACGTCATTGTCACTTTTATAGAAAGTAGGATCAGTTTCTACAGATAGACCTATATGAATATGGGAGGCTTGTAAGATTGTGTTTGGTTAATGAACAAGGCCCATGAGGAATAAAAAGGTAAGAACCATTGCTTCAATGACTTTGAGTTCCTAAAACATTAATTTTCTTTTATTTACAAAAAGGTACTTAACAAATGGTTTGCTGCAAAATCATTAGGGATATATCTTAGTGACTTTAGTACACTCTTGTAAAAGTAAAACTTAGAACATGAAATTGTGATTTTGCTATCTGTACACAATTCTTAAATCTGATAAACCTTGAATGTATCTGTCTGAAAACACTAGAGTTAGAGACTTACCTGTCCTTCGAAACGCAGGGCACTTCCTGAAATTAGGGGTTTCTTCAACAAAACACAGGCATCATTCAATAAATAACGTGATGCAACGTTGTCAGTGGCATCAATTATAATATCATATCTACAATGATTAAGAATAAAATTTTTGAAATAGTGAAAAAAAGAAGAAGAAAAAGATTGGACTAATTTAAGTTTATATGCACAAGAACAGAATTAGAAAATAAAAATAATTCACCCATAACATGGAAGGTATAAAATACAGATGCTTTTCACTGTTGAAATATGTATACTGTACAACTTATGAGAGAATTAACAACTTCAAAAGTCAGTTATAATTTGAGTGTAGTTGTCGTTCCTATATCTACCTTTTGACTCTTTTATCATGAAAGACTGAATAACTATAAACCTTCCCTCCCTAAGCTTTTCAAAGTACCTCTGGGTAACATAGTAAGCTTGTTTACTACTGAATTAGTTTGGACGAGGTAGTGTTAAGAGCTACAGGACAGCCATACAAGTGGAACAGTTTTGCAATAAAATCTCATACAAATTTACACCATACAAATCTTCATATCAAAGTTTATGAAAGATAATATACCTCAAAAGTAGATAAACATAATGGAGGCATCCACAAACCTGTAGTATTTTCTTTCATTAAAAATACCTGAAAATCTATGCATTTTCTTATAGCAAAGCCATATCAGGCTGTCTGCTATGTCCATAGAAGAGAGTTGAACCCCTGGTTTTAGCAATGTAAATTGGAAGACTTACCACTGTCCTACTGGGGGACTACCTGAAAATACACTTAAGTCTTATCTTACTTAATTAGACAATTTAGTGTATATTTTTAGTCATGTACTTAAATCCCTCAACTCAGCTGGAAAAAAATTATGGTAGGTTTTCTTGAAATTGTTTTTTATGGTATTTTTCTTCAATTTACAGGGTTTTCACATATTTCATTTGATTACTTTCGACATGCTTGTGCCTTTCCAAGTTCTTTTTACAACCTCAAAGAATTATGAGCAAACTTGTAACAATGTTGTGTTGGGGTGATACCTATATTAAACTATAGTTAAACTTTAAGTAGTTGCCAGACACACTGACAATGGAAGTGGTTTTGACCTGCTGCTTTTCAAAACAATGAAGCTAAACTATCGAAATATCACTATTAAAACTATTGACACTGCAACCATCAATGTCCTAATAGTATTATCACAGTAGTCCCCTTTTTACAACACTTACTGAGTGCACCAAGCTGTATATAACTTGACTGCATATATTATTCAATCCACCAACAGTGCTCAATGTTGCAACCTTAGCCAATAAAGCCTAGAAGACCAATGAATGAGTAGAAAGATGTCTTCAATTAGCAAAGAGTTTGAGCATTAGATTGCAATGCAGTTACAAGTATCCTAAAACAAACTTTCTGGCAATACTCAACCCTACTGTTTAGCTATTTTAATAAAAATATTTTATAACTCAATTAGCTGTAGTAAGCACTTTGTTTTTCTTATAACACCATGGGCTAATATATTACACATTATAATTATTGATAGTTATACAGCACATAGTTATGTGTGTTCGATGATTTCAATTTTTTTTGGGAAGTTTAATATTGATTAATTAATTGATTTTGGAAATTCTTAAATTCTGCTGCACTGATAAGTAACCTGGTATTTTCTAATATGTCATACTTTTCAGGAAAACATCTTAATTTGTAAGCTAATGGAATTGTTTGTGCATAAAATCAAGCATCAAAACTTTCATTTCCATTTTCACAAGGAAAACCTGTTAGATTTGTTTATTTAAGAAATATCATATAGCTTTGCAAGGACTATCTGCACTAACTGTCCTAATTTTGAATTGATAAAAGATAGACAACTACGTAATAGCATCCACTGCAAACTTTTATAACACATACAAGGCCCTAAAGTGTCGAATGCTACTTGCAGCAACAGGATGCAAACCTTGAACCATTAGGTTCACAATTCTGCATGGCTGACTCCAAACTTTAAACATTAAATCTTATTAGAAATTAAAACAGTTACAGTTATCATTTCAGTCAGTTATGCTTCAAGATATGACTGAACAGAATTTTTTAATTTCCAAATGTTAAGAAAAATCTCTGGAGATATCCTGATTAGTGTGAAACTTTTTTAAAATTCAACAATATCATAACAACAGGACATGAATATATTATAAATAACATATAATAATTCATACTCACAAGGAAATTATTTTTAACTTAAATTGATAGTTGGGGAAAATGTTCTTGAAGGAAATTCAAAAAATTACCTCTATTGCTAGAAATAATAAGAGGTGTGTACATGTAGAAATACCAGTGTACAGGAATAAGCGTAACCATATCTAACATTTACAACATTGATATCTTAAACATCTTGTAATTAGAAAATCATGTATAATGCTTTGACAAGTCACATTCATATATATATATATATATATCAAATAAATAAAACACTGAAATTCTTGGTTCTAGTTGAAGAAAGCCTAACAATTGGATCAACAGTCTTTGGTGTCAGTCAACAAATGGAGTGAAGGCAAACATGACTTGAATAAACTACATATTAAATACATTCTTCAGAGAGAAAGAGCCACAGATGGTGAAATGTTTACTGGAAAGTAAAATAACAAGTAGAAATTGTGCTAATTTACACATACAAATTCTACTGATGTGCTCTTACTCTGTCAATCACACCAACAACTGTAAGCTCTAATGACAATAAAATTCTACTGATGTGTTCTTACTCTGTCAATCATACCAACAACTGTAAGCTCTAATGACAATAAAATTCTACTGATGTGTTCTTACTCTGTCAATCATACCAACAACTGTAAGCTCTAATGACAATAAAATTCTACTGATGTGTTCTTACTCTGTCAATCACACCAACAACTGTAAGCTCTAATGATAATTACTCTAATTTCTGTCACCTTTCACTGAACACAAAATTCTCAATTAATGGACATAAAAAAAGTATGTAATAACTTGAGACTGTGTTATTTATCTACAGATAAGCATTATGCTCTCAGCATAAAATAAATTAATAACAACAGATTTAATTCTGGATTAACATTTGTGTTGTGAGTGCAAATTATTACAAATCTATTGTTGATACTAAAGGATACTGGGAGATTACCTCTTCTGCATTGTTGCTTTTCAGCAAGACATGATGAGAAACACACTTTACCGATGAGTTTAAGCTGGAAAAGAAAAAAAGAAGAGTTCAAATACAAAAAATTATAGCATTGCCTTATATAACACACAAAATCCAATTGTATAACAATCGAACAGCTCTTTTCACACAACAAAATAAAGATGATGTACCAAATGCAAATCTAATGTTATTAAACTTAACATTCTCCTATATTAAATATGTACTGGGTGTCCCAGAAGTCTGGACCCATAGGGAAAATATATATTATATTCTTAAAGTTAAACAAACATATTTCTAATGTCAGTTGTACATATTTCAGGAAAAAAATATCATTATAGCACAGTATACCAAGAATTGACATGCGTATGGCTATTAATGGCATGCAATTTGAATAATTAATAAATTAAGAAGACATTGTGTATTTTTCCCTATAGCTCCAGACTTCTGGGACACCCTGTATTTCCGACAGAAACTCACCTACACACACACAGAATTGCTGTGTTTCTTAAGCACCTGCCTAAGAGATTTGCATTCCATTAGCTTTGAGCTAACTTCTACCTAACCTCACATGTTTAATTTGAATAGTACTAGTGCATAATATCATCATGTAACAATAGCCCTCCACTAAGAGGAGGGCAACACAATCTCCAAGCACAGTAACTCTCCTTAAGCCCTTAAGCTTTCACACTCAAGATAGCTTTATTCTTAGATGAAGCAAAAAAAAAAAGGTAGCACCAGAAGTGAGGAGATCAAATGGGAATGTGTGAAGAGATGAGTATCTATAGGAAATGCATTTTCAGTATAAAAGAACAATGTTAAATTCTCAGATGATGCCTCACCTCTGCACATAGAATTACTAGAATCCCATGCTTAATTATTGGAGGGGGGGCTGGTGCAAATTTTAAACCTAGTGTGACATCTATTGGCAGAGGCTTTATAGGGGCATACCAGTGGGACACCACACCTCATCTCAACCGGAGTATACTTTTCATTTGAGAGGAAATAGGGAGAGACAAAAGAGCCCCAAAAGTTTCAGGAATGGGTAGAATTCAAACATGGTCAACCGAGCACCTGCATGGAAGTAGGACGAGAGGATCACTGAAGAAGAAAGGATAGAAATAAGGAGAGGACAAGAGAAGAAAACCATACAGCAACTGTAATGGCAATTGTATGAGATAAAACTGCCTAAAAATCAGCAATCCATGGCCGAACAACCAAGTGAAAAGAACCAAAACATGGGCCAAAGTAGGATGGTCCAGATGAAGGGAAAGACAGACAGATCAATGTTAAAAAAACCCAAAACAAATGATAGATGGCCAGGGGTGAAAACAACAGGACTGGAATCAGAAAAAGGACACACAAATGGAGAGTCCGGCATTGTAAGGAATAGATTGGACAAATCCAACATGTGAAATAGAAGTGACCATATCCCTGGAAGACAGATGCAGTAGGAGAAAGGGCTGAGCCTGCTAAAAGGCACCACCACCAACAAGGAGTCTTGAGTATTAAAATGAGGACACAAGGTAGAAGACAAGGAGGAGGATGGGTATACATAAAGAGAGGAGACTAGTCCGGGCTGAAAGTATCTGTAAAACTGGCCAAAGGATGAGGAACCAAAGTCCAGAAGAGGGAGAACTTTGGAACTGAGAGTAGCAAAGGTAGTGATGAGAGGCAAGTCCAACAAAATCAAAGGGTGGAGAGACCAAACTATGGGTAGAATCCTGTTAGGATGAGAGAGACAAACCACCACCACGTTCAGAGTTCTAGACACATGAATAGACATAAGACAAATCAAATAGGAAAATAATCCCAAAATAGCATGAAATAGAATGGGTACTCCTTTGATGGTTGAAATTAGCAACGATTATGGAAGGGATGGAATGAATCCTGATCAACCAATCAACAAGAGGGAGGAAATGTTAAAAACACTTCATGGACAATGAGAAGGTAAAGAGCATAGATTTAGAATGAATACTTCACTAGGGCCCACATTCCCTAAGGCATGTAATTGTTCTTAGACATCCTCCCAGGTTGACAGAGAGAGAAGTATCAGAGAAAAGATGGAGATCCAGTCAGGGGGCAGAAAGTGTAGGTGTGTGTGTGAGAAAAGACTTGGAAGGTGTGACAAGCCAGCCCAGCTAAGCAGCCTTCCACAGAATAATACAAGTATGAAAGAAATTCTCCTGAGAAGAGGCAAGGAGAAGCTAATAATTCATGAAAAATAGGAAGTCAAGTCCAGTCCCAAACTAAGAACAAGGTGAACAAATGCCCACATAAGTTGAGGAAGGAATGTATGAGGAGACATAAAGCCCAGAGGAATAGTAAGTAATTAGAAGACACAATCCCTACAGATGAAAAAAAGAAAAACTTTTGAAAGACAGGATGATCAGAATATGTAAAAAAAGTGTCCAAAATATCAATCATGGTCACACACAGTCCATGCGAAAAACAAACAATAGGGAGAAGGGATACTCCCCACATACAACCAAGGAATGATAAGAAACTGGTAGAAAGACACCAGAATCCAGTCACCCCAAGAACACAAAAAGACTAGAGTAAAACCAGATGTAAAGGTAAATACCCTCTCAATGGTGTTATCAGCTAAAAAATCTGACACCACATCTTTGAGACACTGAAGACAAAGAGGAACAGAGGGAGGAGGAATGGAGATGGAAAGGGAAGAAGGGGAAGTGAAATGGAGAGAGGCTGCAGGTGAGAACCAGAATAACCCATCTAGCGGACGAAATTTGAAACCGAAGGTTGGCAAAGAAAGACAGGTGGGTGCCACATAACTAACAGGGTAGTTGCCATCAAAATGAGCAACAACCCCAAGATTATGAAATAGGAGGGCAGAAAGAAAAAGACCAAAAAGGTGAGACAAAAAAGATTGATCAGGCCTAGTAACAGGAATAGAACATCAAAGATGAGAAAATACAGTTGAAAATGAGGAACTGAGAATGGGGCCACAACAGTCTGGGTCTCCAGTGGATCAAAAACACCAAAAACCTCTGGACAAAGAAATGGAGCCTGATGAAGATTACATATAACAATGTGAGGAGACAACATACACTTGTTAGGAGAGCAATCTATTCCAACAGCAGAGGAACCAACCAAAGAGATATAGAATAGCAGAAGAATTATGGGTCAATGTAGAGAAAAGAAGAGAACAAACCTCTCTAGAATATATTCCCCTGGAGTACCATGAGTTGCCTCAGTCAGAAAGTAAAGTAGCAGGAGGTAACATAAGAGGGTGGTAAGAAAGATAAAAGCAAGAAAGGCTGGCATTGTAAAGGTAAAACAGAAGTTAAGAGGTCCACTCCCCAAATGGGGAAAAAAAAAAAGAGTCCAAAGAGTAGGAATCGAGGAATGGAAATGAAGAACGTCTGTAAGTCGAGATAAAACAGTCAAGTAGACTAGGAGGATGAGGCCTGTTAGCATAAGGGTGCAGTTTATCAAGAAACGAGACTTCAGGGACCCAAAAGTTAGGTAAAAATGGGAAAACAAAAGGGAGAGAGAAATAAAAGAATATACCTGAGAAGTCATGTCAAGGAAGAAAATAGAAGAGTGAGGATAGCCCTCCATAAACAAAGCAATGCCTAGAGTAAACCTTGATGGGGGAAATAGCAGGTCAAATCACCATCATCCTGATTATGTTGAAATTGGGGAGAATCAAAGTTGCCCGAAAGGATGGGAAAAGAAGACCAAATGAGCATGAACAAACCCACAACATGTGGAACAATGGTTATCACATCCACCACAGACAATGAGTTCCAGAAGCCACAAAGACTCAGGTCTCCTGTTAGGAATACCATCACTGTCATGGGAGGAAACAGAAATTACTGTCACTTGACAAGTTATATTGGATAAATAGAAAAAAACCTTGTCTGGGTTCCTTTAAGAATAAAAGAAACCAGTGAAACTGAAATGAATATTAAGTTTTCATAAACTACTGTAGGTCTCACATACATTAATAAAAGTTTAAAACCCATCTATTCTAGACAGTGCCAAGAAAAAGAATGAAGTTATCTTGAGTGCAAGTGCTTAAGGGGAGTTATTGCATATGGAGGTTGTGTCACCCTCCTATTGGTAGAGGGATAATGTTGCATCATGACATAATCATGTACCAGCACAGTTCATGTTAAACACCTGAATTTAGGTTAGATCTAGCTTAAAGCTAGTGGCAAGTAAGTAAGTCTCTTAGACAGACATATGAGGATTATTACAATTCTGTGTGAGAAGTTGAGGTATCATCTCAGAATGTCCTTTACATCATAACATAAAATTTCTATTCTGAAATTCTTCATTTCTGTGCAAGGAGATAGATGTTTATGTTTAAATTAGATATATACTAGATGTAAAAGTGTTATTAAAGTAACCTCAAGACTTAAAAATCCACAAAAATTGTGAAACACGTCTTGTTGAAGAATGGTGTCAAGTAATATGTTTTAAATCATACATCTTGAAAATTTAATGGTTAAAATGTTATTACTTTAGTTTGATAAGGACAAAAGTCTGTCAGAACATGACCTTAGCGTCAAATTAATCAATTAATATAGAAACATTTTCAGCAAGTGATAACTCTTAAAAAAAGAAAACATAGCAAAGTTTGCTCATGCTCATTATACATAGGCCTAACCCCTAAAACAACCCAAAAATTATGGATGAACAGTACATGGCAGACAATAATAATAAGTCAACAGCACAAGACCATTATTGATAAAACTATTATACCTGGAAACAGCAAGAATAATGGAAAGAGATTTTGGTGTCCCAACTCCATGTTCTTTATGAAGAATCTGTCTGTGAAGATTACTCAGTTCTACAGAATCATAGTCAACAACCCCAATAGTTCCTTTGGGAATGAAAAAAAAATGCTTTTAAAATCATAACTATAAACAGAAGTTTCTTACCACATATTATGTAAAACTTTGCCATATACGCAACTAAATTTTTAAACCATATTAGTAGATGTTATAGTGTTACATTGTAATATATACATAGATGAATGCAAACACAAAGCTAAGTTTTATCATTTAGCAGTCTACATTCAAAATTTAGACGATGGATATAAAAATCAACTTCTATATATAAGTTGCTCAAAATTTAAGAACATGATAAAATTATCTACTGTTCTGCTAAAAAATTTTCTATGGCAAAAGTGCTAATTTTTAATTTTTTTACCAATATATATATATATATATATATATGTATATATATATATTGGCTTTGAATATTTATTGTAAACATTTTGAGAGTTAAATATTTTTTTGTATATTTATACACAAAATACGGTTTTGTATTGTATTATCTCTATCTTCCTTAATACGCATCTCAAAAAATAAGCACTGTAACTGATTTCTATAATATTTATATATTCTAACTCTGACATAAATTTATGAGGCACTTTACACACCATGTGGATCTTTTATTTTTGAAATTCTTATGCCTAATAAAGAAAAATATATATATAACAAGTCTGATCTTTCTCTAAACCAAACAAAAAAGAAATCTGCAACACTGATGTAGTGAACATAAAACATGCTTAATTCCAATTAGGCCTAGCATGCAGTATTTGCAGCATATTGTTTCATAATTTAAAATGAAGTTTTTCTTGAATTTTTAGTAGAACTTTAAAGTTCAATATTTTGATTTCTGCTTGCTGTTGTTTCCAATCAGAAGTTACACAATATCTATAAGTTAATAAAATTGAGGGTAAGATTAACTTAATACAATACCTCACTTCTAATACAAAGGAACATTAACTCATTCAAGATAGTACTCAACAAAAACAAAGGTAAAGATATGGCTATTAGATGTAGGATAATTTTATGCATGTCTCATATGTTAAAAATCTACAAAATCCCAAAATTCTCCTGACTCCTGCAAGCATGAACCTGAAAACTATCTTGAAGCTAAGAAATTAAGATGCATTATTTTTTTTACATGGGATTAAAAAATTCTTTATTCAATTAGACATACCAACCTAGGGAGAAAATTTAACACTTTTTCAAAGTAAGGTATAAAAATTGCATGACATAAAACATATCATATAAAATATATTTAAGAATAAGAAATAGAATATCTTGATTTTCAGAAAACAATTATTTACCTACTCCAGCTGCAGCCAGATAGATAGCTGCTGGACATCCAAGACCACCAGCTCCCACAATTAAAACTGACGCTTTTTTCAACTTTTGTTGACCTAAAACGTTTTTTAATATATACATAAGTATTGAAAATATTATTATAACCAGCTTATGTAATGTGGATCCTAAAATAGCAGTTTGTCTAAACCAACTTAAAGTATGCCCAATCTTATCACTTTCTTCTTAAGAATTAGAAATAAAATTATGATTCTTTGTTAATTAACATTACACCTATTCATACTTATCACCTATTTAGATTTTTATTCATGAAAGATGTATATATTTTTTCAATATTAAAAAAACAGTGGTTTATGTAAAAAAAGGGTTAAGAGATAATTTCTATAACATGTCGCAATGCTTTTGAAATAGAAAAACATCAGGGACAGTACCAATGAAACACAATCTCTCAAGATACTACATTGCCAGTCACTAAACTCTAGCACCACAAAAAATTAAATACACGAAGTAAATTCTTAAACACTTGTACATGAGTGAATGTTAGAACAAATTGGAGATAAAAGTAAGAAAAGAGAGACAGGAAATACACCATATGATATAAATATGCCACAAATACGTGTAACTATTAAAATAAACTTAATTCATGCTACTGTTTTTCCTGTTTGGCATTGACTCGATTATATGCATTTGCATACTGTATCTACTCACAAGTGTTACTACTAGGCAGTAAATAAAAGAAAATCTACCTCCTACACCAAAGTCTGGCAGAATGAGCTGTCGACTGTACCTAGCAACATCTTCTTTTGACAGCTGAGAACACAGATTTTCTGGAGATTCCAATGTTGCAGTCGAAGCAGCAATTTTAGTGCTTGGGTGAGAATTACTCATTTGATCAAGCTCAGATTTAGGTACCTAAAAAATATAACGTTGTAATGTATTTTATCATTATGTAACAGGCGTTGGGCATGAATTTTATTCTAACTTTTAAGAATCTAACACTAGTAACACCTTAGTTAGTACTAGCTACCATACTTGCAGAACACGATAACTTGTATAAGTTAAAACAAGTTATTGCGCTAATATAAATAAGGATAATTATTATTATATTAATATCATCAGTAGTCATTCAATGATTCACTCAGCATTGTCACTAGTCAGTTTTCGTCACTAATTAAGTAATATATAAATTATACGTCATTACTTGTTCAATCCGTAACACTAATACGCTAGATTAATATTTCTGATACAAACGTATTTTGTGAGCAATGTCTTCAGTCTCATGATTTCACTATCTTTTTCTTCAAGCAATTGTTTAAAATTTGGCATTTGAAATTCTTCTTCTTGGAGACCCATCATATTTGAAAATTACAAAATTGTGAGTGAGTCAGTGACATCTGTTGGAAGAGTCGTACTAAACTAATGAAATTGCATCTTTATTAATTTATTAAAATAATACCTACATCTTTATCTTAATTAATATTAAGCAGTGGCATATTTTTATAATTCTGGTGAAATTATAAATGTAATTTAAGAATTCAAGTAAAAAAGTATGTTAGACATTAGTACAGAGATTAGTTGAGGAAAATGTGGTGACGATGAACCTACTTTTTTCGAAATGAAGTTTGGAGACGGCTTGAACGGGTAGTGAAAGAAACTTTATTACAAATGTTTGTTTATTTGAATTTATGCACAAAGTTACACAATAGGCTATCTGTGCTCTGCCCACCACGGGTATCGAAACCCGGTTTCTAGCGTTGTAAGTCCGCAGACATACCGCTGTGTCACTGGGGGCTATTACAAATGTAGAACATTTAGACAAGCTGATAATGACAAAAGCGTGTCGTAAAGTTGTTCATATGTAATAAAGCTTATTTCACTACCCATTCAAGCCGTCTCCAAACTTCATTAGTTGTAGAAAAGTATTCCATAGACCTGGTTCAGTAATTGAGTGATGTAGTGTACACATCTTATTGTTATAAGCTATATTTTTAATATAGCAATTTAATTGTTGGCTAGAAAATGCTGCGGGTCTGAATCAAATAATTTAAATAAAAATAATAATAACATAGGCCTATAACATCCAGACTTTGTTACAGACTCCTAAGTGAAACATTGAATATGGTAAAACAGTGTTTACCTGAATTGTTATATTTAATATTTCCACTGTTATCAACAGAATTACTGCACTGGCTTGGCCGCCAATTTTGATTTTACATCTTTTAATCGTCGTTTAGTTATAAATACAACATAGGTGTGAAGTATGGAGAGTTTTTCAAGAATATAGTAGTTGAACCAGGCAGTGTGTTTGCTTAACGTATTTGATCTGTGTTTGTCATTGCATTTATAGTGTTACGTCTCCGTTCGTTAATTGATTTTCCGTAAATTCGTTCTGACGAAACTTTAGCGACACAAGTCCTTACTTAATAAAACTGGTTTATTCTTTCCG